AGTATTTGTTTCACAGACCGCCTCTCCGTATTTCCCCGCATTGGTGTCGTACGTCCAATCCTTCCGAGACCAGTTTTACTATTACTTCCAGTTCTAGTGACATGCATTTTCAATACATCTTCCATCCTCCATAAATTCGTCGGTGACCTTGTCCGGTTTGTGTTCCTTTCACACTGCGTTTTCGTTCTGATCTCCACCATTTTTATTGTCTACCTACGTACTTACACTGTTATTGTACATATACTCGCTCTGATCATTTGATCATGCCTTGTGCATGCCTCACGGGCTCCGTGAAATATACACCAATTATTATTATTATTATTTATATTAGGGTGTTGCTAGAAGGGACTTCAACATATCAGAGGTTAACTGGAATAGAGACAGGGCACCGACCGGTACCCGAGGAGGACTGCTTCTAGAGTGACTATATCAGCACGCATTATCACAAAGCATGCGACAAGCTACCCGGTTTAGAGCAAATGACAGGCCGTCCATATTGGATCTAGTGATCACGAGAACCTCCATAGACACAAGAACAACAACCCTGGAGGAGCCCCTAGGTAAAAGTGATAACGTGGTTCTGCAACTAACCCTAGAAAGCAGGAACACCAAACCAGCCACAGTACAAGCGATAAACAAGTTTGGATCCCAGCAAAAAGCGAAGAATTACAGACTAGTAAGTTTGACATCAGTAATATGTAAGTGTTTGCAGCGCCCATTTAGAAGGTTGAAATGCCATCACATGGTAAAAATGTGAACGTTGTTGATCTGAACTAGCTCACCTAGTTTCGAATCGGACATGATGGATTTCGAAGAGTGCTCGTTATAGACACCGACAGGAACAGACCACAAGCTGGAGTTTAAATAGGAAACCTTCTTTTCAATGTACCCGTTTGCGGTGATGGAGATCAGTTCGATCTGATGCTCGGATGTCGCACTGAGAAACGCAAATATTCCCGAGACAGAATAAAGTACAGAGAAAAGCCAGGAGTTAATGTTCAGATGGTGTCTGGGCGGCTTGTGTCTGTGGATGTAGGATCATCCCACAGGTAAGGACAACACAATGATATCCGTTTGTGCATCAATAATTACTTACTACCTGACCCTGGACAGAAATGATTTTTTCCGCACATGTACCCTAAAGTCGTTTGACTGAAACAAATCGAGACACTGAACAAAGAGCCATTTACAATTGGTGTCGATGCCTCCAGGTCTACTAAGTCGGCGGGAGTGGATCAGTCCATTCCCGCTCGACGGGGCATGCTGATGAAGTATACCAATTGCGCAGTTCTTTCACACGGTTGAACTTCGGCTCTTTAGGGCTGCATGCAACTGGACACTGTCGGAGTGTTAGCGTATCGTTGATCTTTTTAGAAAACACAGCTTCTGTAAATCCGATACTGGCGTAACCACAACTCTGGACATGATCGCGAAATTCATTGATAACCAGATGCTGCATCGCAATCACGTCACCAGATTCTCGAACGGGCGGTAAATTTTCTCTCGTATCATTAAACGAAACGCAAGTCATTTTGTCACCATCCAGCGATCGATCCGTTATTGTCCGTTTCGGTTCCTTGTAGAATTTTACCACAGCTATGATTTTGACGGATCCAGTGGTATCTTTCAAAGTACTGTACGAGTACATCTTGCCCACAGTTAACAGCATCGATCGGGGGGAGAATTTCTTGGGGATTTTGCCTACTTCTAGACCATGCACTAATATATAAGGTATGCAAAAAATTTTTTTTTCAACCACGGTTCATGTTTTTGTATATGCATTTACATATAAAAATAAGACAAAACAAAAAGCAAAAAGAGCTGAAAACCTTGTTCTTTTTATTGCTTTTCATTGCCTAAACGATCAGCTCCAACAACATATATATAATGTAATATAATCGACCTAAGATATAATGCAATAAATAATATAATCAAAATTTAATATTATTTGTAATATATAAAATTATGTGTATAATATACTGTGTCTCTAGTTTCATTATTATTACCACTTTTAGATAACATGAATCACTTTCATCCTTTTTGGTATACCTATTTTCTTTTTATTACTTTTAATTATTATTATTGTCATATATAATATTAGTTTTATTAGTTTATTGTTATCATACCTAATATTATTACTGTTCCAATTGATAGTACATATTTATTACATAGCATGTGCATATTTTAATTTTCACACTACTTTTAGTGACTCGATGGTTGCTGATGTTTATCAGAACCTGCCACTAATGTTTGCTAATGTTTGTTTCAAATATCCGTCCCAAAAGAAAACAGAACCAAATATTGGGTTTGTAGAAAACGATATACTCTGAATCTTCCGAGAGGTTGGAATTAGGTTTGATTAGGCCTAGGCTGCTATTTAAACCACGGCAGCGGAAACCTGAAAGTAGATCTGATCAATGCAACGAAAGCGTGCGATACAGAGCTCACCGCGGGGAACTGTGTCGGTGCACGCTTTTCGAGCTCATTAGAAGAGCGATAATAGTCAAAGCGAAACTTAATCCAGGAGATGTCCAAGTTGCTATATCTAATTGAGAAACTTTTCCTGGAAGATAGCTATCTCCAAATAATGGCGATGAATGCTAAATCTCGACGGCACGCTTGATTGTGTCCGGTGGAGAAGGGGGCTTGAGTAAGAAGGAAAAACATAGCGGTTGTTCAGCTACCTGATCGAGAGGCTAAATAGCTACTTGATATCTAAACCTTGATGGTTCTGATAAGTATGCCACGGTTATGTAACCATGTCTTGATAATCNGGAGACTAAACCCGTCCTGTTGCTAATCGCCAGTGTAGGATGAAAGTGCCTCTGGTACGTGATTGAATGATCACGACCCGCTTGAATGGGTCTATCAAGAAACTTGGAGAAGAACATGAAGCAAGAAAAGAAAACTGCCGTTACGAAACTGTCGATTAAAGAACCGCTACATTATGATTGGTATCATTCAAAAAATATGTCGAAATATGTTCGCCAAAAATGGTATATATTATGATATAACTGCATTTAATATTATTTTTTCTTCATATACGGGCAGACCTGACTGATAGTTATCATCCCCAGCAAAACACCACGATAATATACTGAATTCTGTATATATGCAGAGTGAACGCGCTTATATTAGGATTTTGTATAAGAAGACCAGAAAGTAAATATAAAAATGTATAAAACACAAAAAATAACTGAAAAATATCAAAATACAGATTAGTCGACGTGGTGTATTTCAAAATGTTTCTATATTTATCTCAACCTTTGAGGGCGAAAACTGAAACCAGTGTTGGTAATGAACTTCGTCCAAATGATTACACCGTCCGTCCTAAGCAGAACCTGAAAATGCCTCCAGTCTTGTCTGTATTGGAATCGAGTAGCCTACCACGCTTTCAGTTTGGACATCTGTTGCCTGAGTGATGAATCCTCAGGCTTGGTTCCCCGTTAATTGAGTGTATCTTAAGAATGACAACGTTTTTATGCTTTCCATTTGTCGGAGTAAATAACGAATCCAGTTCTTATTCATCGTTTTATTATCAGGAAAAATGTGCTTGCCGTTTTTACAAACAGATTTTACCACAGAGATAAAAGTACCACATCTATAAACAGTCAAACATATTTACCGCACAAAAATAGGAGAACAGATTAACAAAATAGCGCACTTAGATATGATGTAAACAGAAGCCAATTTAAAATTTTTGTATTTTATCTTTCAGGGGAAAAATTTTCATGAAAAAATTTATTCACTTACACAACGTAATAAAATTGTTTCCCTAGAGGCGACTATCGATCAGGTCTACTTATATATGTATTAAATGTTGATAGGTATAACATATTTATACATAAATGTACATACTTATATTTAATAAATTGGTGTATATATATAACAATATATGCATCATACATAATATTATGGTTATAAACTTAAAAGATATAGTAAGCTTATCGTATAATACTGTAACATGACAAGTTTACATATGTAATCTGAGTATTTTATGGCAAATCAGATAGGTATTAAATGTATCATAAGCATTTAAACTACTCATGATAAGTTGGATAATGTTACACTTCCTGCGTATGGTGGCACCCGCAAGTAACTTGAGCCTTGTAAGCATCGTATCACTTCTAATATGTGGATTTCATTC